CTAATGATTTTACTATAGGAATGCATTGCAAATGAGGAAGAAGAAAGGGATTGTCAGTGGTCAGGAATGAATGCAAGCATTACTGATAGAATAGGGCTATTATATGTATAATGGAAATGAATTGGTAATGATTTTACTATAGGAATGCATTGAAATGAGGAAGAAAGGGATTGTCAGTGGTCAGGAATGAATGCAAGCATTACTGATAGAATAGGGCTATTATATGTATAATGGAAATGAATTGCTAATGATTTTACTATAGGAATGCATTGCAAATGAGGAAGAAAGGGATTGTCAGTGGTCAGGAATGAATGCAAGCATTACTGATAGAATAGGGCTATTATATGTATAATGGAAATGAATTGCTAATGATTTTACTATAGGAATGCATTGCAAATGAGGAAGAAAGGGATTGTCAGTGGTCAGGAATGAATGCAAGCATTACTGATAGAATAGGGCTATTATTTGTATAATGGAAATGCATTGCTAATGATTTTACTATAGGAATGCATTGCAAATGAGGAAGAAAGGGATTGTCAGTGGTCAGGAATGAATGCAAGCATTACTGATAGAATAGGGCTATTATATGTATAATGGAAATGCATTGCTAATGATTTTGCTATAGGAATGCATTGCAAATGAGGAAGAAAGGGATTGTCAGTGGTCAGGAATGAATGTAAGCATTACTGATAGAATAGGGCTATTATATGTATAATGGAAATACATTGCTAATGATTTTACTATAGGAATGCATTGCAAATGAGGAAGAAAGGGATTGTCAGTGGTCAGGAATGAATGCAAGCATTACTGATAGAATAGGGCTATTATATGTATAATGTAAATGAATTGCTAATGATTTTACTATAGGAATGCATTGCAAATGAGGAAGAAAGGGATTGTCAGTGGTCAGGAATGAATGCAAACATTACTGATACAATAGGGCTATTATATGTATAATGGAAATACATTACGAATGATTTTACTATAGGAATGCATTGCAAATGAGGAAGAAAGGGATTGTCAGTGGTCAGGAATGAATGCAAGCATTACTGATAGAATAGGGCTATTATATGTATAATGTAAATGCATTGCTAATGATTTTACTATAGGAATGCATTGCAAATGAGGAAGAAAGGGATTGTCAGTGGTCAGGAATGAATGCAAGCCTTACTGATAGAATAGGGCTATTATATATATGATGGAAATGAATTGCTAATGATTTTACTATAGGAATGCATTGCAAATGAGGAAGAAAGGGATTGTCAGTGGTCAGGAATGAATGCAAGCATTACTGATAGAATAGGGCTATTATATGTATAATGGAAATGAATTGCTAATGATTTTACTATAGGAATGCATTGCAAATGAGGAAGAAAGGGATTGTCAGTGGTCAGGAATGAATGCAAGCATTACTGATAGAATAGGGCTATTATATGTATAATGGAAATGAATTGCTAATGATTTTACTATAGGAATGCATTGCAAATGAGGAAGAAAGGGATTGTCAGTGGTCAGGAATGAATGCAAGCATTACTGATAGAATAGGGCTATTATATGTATAATGGAAATGCATTGCTAATGATTTTACTATAGGAATGCATTGCAAATGAGGAAGAAAGGGATTGTCAGTGGTCAGGAATGAATGCAAGCATTACTGATAGAATAGGGCTATTATATGTATAATGTAAATGCATTGCTAATGATTTTACTATAGGAATGCATTGCAAATGAGGAAGAAAGGGATTGTCAGTGGTCAGGAATGAATGCAAACATTACTGATAGAATAGGGCTATTATATGTATAATGGAAATGCATTGCTAATGATTTTACTATAGGAATGCATTGCAAATGAGGAAGAAAGGGATTGTCAGTGGTCAGGAATGAATGCAAGCATTACTGATAGAATAGGGCTATTATATGTATAATGGAAATGAATTGCTAATGATTTTACTATAGGAATGCATTGCAAATGAGGAAGAAAGGGATTGTCAGTGGTCAGGAATGAATGCAAGCATTACTGATAGAATAGGGCTATTATATGTATAATGGAAATGAATTGCTAATGATTTTACTATAGGAATGCATTGCAAATGAGGAAGAAAGGGATTGTCAGTGGTCAGGAATGAATGCAAAGCATTACTGATAGAATAGGGCTATTATATGTATAATGGAAATGCATTGCTAATGATTTTACTATAGGAATGCATTGCAAATGAGGAAGAAAGGGATTGTCAGTGGTCAGGAATGAATGCAAGCCATTACTGATAGAATAGGGCTATTATATGTATAATGGAAATGAATTGCTAATGATTTTACTATAGGAATGCATTGCAAATGAGGAAGAAAGGGATTGTCAGTGGTCAGGAATGAATGCAAGCATTACTGATAGAATAGGGCTATTATATGTATAATGGAAATGAATTGCTAATGATTTTACTATAGGAATGCATTGCAAATGAGGAAGAAAGGGATTGTCAGTGGTCAGGAATGAATGCAAGCA